CCCCTGCTGCAGAAACCTGTCCCCTGCCTTCCCAGCCCCCTGTTCCCTCCCCCCTGACCCCAGCCGCAGAACCCTGCCCCCACTGGCACCCTTTCCCAGTACCATGTCCCCTGCTCCCAACTGACTTTTCTGTGGGTCAGTGACCCTTGAATCAAGACAAGTTCCCTGCTCTTCTCCTAAATAAAGACAACGCAGAAACTTTTTGCGTTTGTCATAGTATTTTATTTAAAAATGAAGCCTGGCCAACAAATATCCAAGTGGGGACAAGCCCCCACCTGGCCACAGCCACTCCTGCACTCCCCCTTGCCCCACACCCTATATCTGTACACTGGAACCCCCTGCCCTGAGCCCCTCATATACCCCAGCCCAAATTCCTGCACCCTCACATCCACAAACCAGTGCCTTGCTTAGTACCCCAACACTGCCCGGCCTGGAGCCACCTCCCCGAGCCAGTGTCCCCTTCTCCACCTCCTCCTGCATCCAGATTTCCTCCCAGAATTTGCACCTCTCACCCCTTCCCACGCCCAAATCCCTCATTCCCACCCCAGAGACTACACATCCTGTCTCAATCCAGCAAGGGTCCGGATAGACTGCACGAGTTTTTCAGGATTCTGGAGATATCCCAGAAAAACTCTTCTGCATCCAATGTTGCATTTGTTCTTTCGCTTTTTTTTAGTGGAAGAGCAAACATGATCTTTCGGTCACCCCTATATTCCTCTTTCCACGGGAAATAAGGGGGTTTCCAAAAGATGGGGTTTTTTTTCCTGACATTTGGTCCAGTCTAGACAGGCCAAATGTTAGAAAAACCTCTTCCTACAGAAGAATTTTTTTTTAAAAGCTGCAGTATAAGGATTGGGGATAGCAAGTGATGGAGAGGAGGAGAATAGAGAGGGCGGGGCTTCAAGGAAGGGGCGGGGCGATAGATCTTGGCTTGGGCTGTCATTTAAAAAGTGATCTTGGGTGTAAAAAGGTTGAAGACCACTGCCGTAAGGACCTGTAGCCCACGAATTTCATTGTATGACCCTTAGTTCTTGTATCATGTGAATAAGTAAATAACACTTCCGTAAGCAATTTCTTCATACATCTTATAGTTTTTATTATCATATACCCTCTTGGTCGTCTTTTTCCAAGCTGAATAGTCCCTGTCTTTTTAACTTTGTCTTCTACGAAAGCTGTCCATACCCTTAATCCTTTTTGTTTTGTTTTTGCCCTTCTCAGTACCTGTTACAATTCTTATATATATTTTTTAAGATGGGGTGACAAGAACTGTACACAGTATTCAAAGGTGGGCATACCATGGTACTGTGGTATTACCATATGTATTGTCTTATTAACTTATCATATTATTGTCATATGTATTGTCTTCTTAATTGTATTACCATATGTATTGTCTTATTAACTGTCCCTTTCTTAATTGTTCCTAACGTTGTTAGGTTTTTTGACTGTTCCTGCTCATTGAGTTGATGTTTCCAGAGAACTATGACTCCACTTCTCAGTGGTTACAGCTAATTTAAAGCCCTCATTCAGTTTGTGTAGTTGGGATTATGTTTTCCAATATGCATTACTTCACATTTGTCAACACTGATAAATGCTATTTTATTGCCCAGTTTTGTGAGGTCTCTTTGTAACACTTGAGCGTCTGGTTTAGAATTAACTGTTGTGAGTACTTTTGTATCCTCTGCAAACTTTGCCATCTCACTGTTTATCCCTTTTTCAAGATCTTTTATGAATGTTGAAATAATCATATACATGTTTGCTATAGGATAATTTGAGATTTATATGTATTGTTTATGACTAGATGGCTTGATTCTGCCACCTCTGGTTGCTGGGTGATTATAGGCAAATTACTTCTGCTTTCTGTGTCTGTTTCTTCACCTGTAAAATGGGATCATGTTAATGACCTCTTTATAAATTCTCAGAGACTTGTTAAGTGCCGTATAAGAACTAGGTATTATTATTTAAATATATCCAATACTGTTGAAGGAGATAAATAATAAAAGATTTGATTGCTGTTGACTCTCGTCTGAGTCCTGGTCACCCACTTGGCGTGATGAATAGCAGTAGCCTTTTCCTTTCCCGTTCCTTACTACTGTTTGGAAATTTTCTTTGGTTGAACAGGACCTAATTTATGTTTGTATTTCTGTTTTTAGGTAGAAGCTTCTGAGGAGACATCACCATCTATAGGTAGCAGTAAAACAGTTATATCTATGTGTTCTTAGTGTGCTTTCCTCACCAGATTCTGTTGTTGTGGCTTATGTTTGTGGAGAGAATGAAAGAAATGGCTTATTTTGAAGGTGACACTTTTATGTTTTATAGAGGAAAGGGGAAGCTAAGGCATTAAATTATGGTGGTCTTTGACTTCCTTGCTTCCAAACAATTAAATAACAAGTACAACACATGGATAAATTGCTGAACAGATAATGTAATTTGGGAGCCAGAGTGTAAATTTATCTCTTCATTAACCTTAAGGTAAAAAAATCAGTGAATAAATTCTAACCTTGATTGGAGAAAAAAGCTAATGTTTTGTGAGCGGCCAAATACAGGGTGGAGGTTTGTTAAAAGGGTGTAGACCACAGAAGAAGTAAATTTAATGTGTAGTTCCACCTCTATATCTACATGGTGAGGAATACACCTTTTCAATTACTGAATTATTAAATATAGCAAGAAAATCAGGGAATGCTGAAATAGTTTGTCTCTCTTCTTGAACGGAATGTGGTCACAAAAATACTTGGAAAGGTTTACATAAGAGCAGGGGTGGGCAACAAGGTTGGCCACTGGTGAGCCTCCAGATGCTTTATTTACCTGCTCATCTGCAAGTAGGGCTACTCGCCAATGGGAGCTGCAGAAAGTTTTTACAGGCTGGGTCACTGCTTCCCACAGCTCCCATTGGCCCAGAATGGTGCACCACAGTTAACAGGATCTGCCGGCAGCCATGCCTTTGGACACACAGGTAAATGAAACATCTGGCAGCCTGCCAGGTGATTAACTCTGACAAACCATATCCAGGCTGCTTATTGCCCGCCCTTGAATAAAAGCCCAGTTGTGTCTCATATCTGTACGAGAGGTTCTAGTACTTTTTCTTATAAATAGAACAAAAAGGTGAGAAAATAGTGCTGAGTATAGCAGCAGAACTATGTACAGCTTCACCAATATTTTGGTGGTAGGAAAAGATATCTACCATTGATACACATTTATAAAATATTCTGGAGGGTAAGTGTCTCAAAGTATATACCTATATGAGAGGGCTCTAGTTTGCAGGCAGTTGTGTCAAGGAAAGAGGAGCTGAGTAACCCTTACATTTAATTGAAACAAGTGGAAATAATAGGTGCCTGGCTGATAAACCTATACAGAGAATTCCACTGGGAAAGGAAGGGGAGGCAGTGGTAGAAGAATAATTTTCTAGTGTTGTATATGTATCTGATAAGACAGGGAGGCACACACTAGGGGGCTTTCTCGCCCCGACTTCCGGGGCGCGAAAGCTCCGTTCGTAAGTGCGGATCCGACATAAGTCGGATCCGCGTAAGTCGGGGACTGCCTGTACTTCATTTTGATTTTGTAAACTTAATGAATTGGCAAGTTTGCTTATAGCCTGAGTATAGGTGGGTTATATTTTTTTTATAAAGTGAAGGAAAATATATTACATAAACACTATCTGTAGTTAGGGTTTTAAGCCAAATTGTAAAGATAATTTGGATCTAGGTATGATAAGATTTATTATTACTATTATGTGAGGAAACAGTCTGTTAAGATATGGTGAAACTTTCAGTTGACTCAGTGATTTGAATATATAAAATGTAGAAGTCTTTGTAATATAAATAGGGTTGCTAGTGGGAGGGTTGGGAATATAGCAAATCTGTGAGGCATGCTACTTGTTTGATGTTTTATTTTTCACAGTGCAGAATCACATAAGTTGCAAAACCACCAGTCAGAGGAAATTTAATTATCTTTTGGTTAAGTGTTACTCAAAGTTCTTTAGAAAATTACAGAAAATACAGTTGACTTTTTCTAATACGCTCTTCATTAAATTGATTTTTTCCTCAATGTTTGTTAAAGATGACGATCTCCTACAAAACAAGTTGGTACAGGATGCCATGCGTATGGGTTTCAGTTTGTCTGAGATTAAGAACATTATGGAGAAGAAACTACAGACATCTGGAGAAAACTATGGATCTCTTGAGGTTCTAATTACAGATTTATTAAATGCTCAAAAAGAAAATGTTCACGAAGAAGTATCCAGTGAGTGCCCACCAGAGAAAGGTGAGGTTTTTTTTTTTTTTTAAATTACAAGACACAGATGCAAAACATTACAATGGATTTGTATTAAATATCTTACTGGTGTATTTCTGTTGCCATCTTTGATTCCAGTCTTGTTTAATATAAAAGACATTAATGTAATATATGCAGTTTTTAGAGAATTGGATAGGATTATCATATGCAACACTGATGGACCCAGGTCATCAGCAGGTGGGATTGAACCTGGAGTCTTAGGAGCTACAGCCATGAGCCTCTACCATATCAGCTAAAAGCTAACTAGCCCTTATTTAAGTAGAGCATACTTCACTTTTCCTCTCAATGGTTTCAGTGCCTCGAGGTTACGCATAAACACAATTTCAAACAAAAAATAAATTTACACTTTATTAGAAAGGAGCAGGCTACTATTGGTGATACAGTAATGTATAATATTAAAGAGACACTGTCATCCCTGTTCCCAAATTCCCTTGCCGATATTTGTGTTTTTGTGATTTTTTTTCTTTTTTAATGTGCCAAGTCAAGTCTTCATCCCCTCTCCCTGCTGCTGGGCTAAGTATTTCTCACAGCAGATGGAAAACTGAGTGGACAGAGGAATGTATAAATAAATGACAAAAAAAGAGAAATGTTAGTGTCCTCTAGTCTTTGAGTTATAAAACTCTGAAATATTAATTGATAAATTTTTAGAAGTATTGTAGCCTATGAGCCCTGATCATAGTTCAAGACCTTATTGTGCCAGTTGCTGTACAAACGCTGAACAAAAATACGGTCCCTGTTCCAAAAACTTTTAAATCTCAGCGCAAAACAAATGAAAACAGATTGATTCAGACAGACAGATGAGTACCAGGAAACAATGAGACAATAGTGGTCAGCATGACAGGCAGTTATAATAGTGAACCAGTGGCCTAGATTCTATCAGTGTGGTTAGTTAGTTGTAGACATCACAACAAAAGAGTTTTAAGGAAGATTTTGCATTCAGGATGCTTTATTAGTTTTGTGAACATTTCTGGGGCGCTTCCCCCAAATATGGAAAAGAATTGGAGACAAAAACAGACTTTTGTTTCATGTAGGGCATAATTTTATAATATGGAACTAAAATAGCATGTATAGTCAGTTCTTTTGGTGGTACAACTTTTTAAATTAATTTTTCAAATAGATACTCTTGATGCCTATAACAAAATCAAACAAAAACTATTTTCTCTGCCTATCCTTGAGTTCAATAAAAAAAATTCTACTTCTAAAGTATTTTACACAACACCTTTTTTCCTATAACATTTTTGGGGGAGGTGTCAGTGTGAACTCTGTATTCTCTCCTCTTGTGAATTAAAGTTCAGAGCTCTGAATTTATTATCTTATGGCTGAATTTTCCAGTGCAGGTATTGGCAGGGTACATTCGACTTCCTCTTCACTACAGACTGCCCTTTTCTGTTCACATTTACCTTTCCCCACCGCCTTTTCCCAACTCCCCTCTATTCCCATCATCCATACATGCTTCATAATCTGTTAAATGCAAATACAAAACAAAAAAAGTAATGAAAGCTAAGCATTCAAATTTGGGTAATGTGTATGTAATGTCAACATTGGGGCATAGTTCAGCTCCCTTTGCTTAGCATTACCATGTAGTCTGACACAGTATTTCTCAAATAATGCAACAGAATATAATATTTTCTGTACAACTCTAGGCACATATTGTAAGATATGATATGTGAATACTGGTGATGTGCCATTAATGGGGGTGTTTACCGAGTAACAGTTAACCATTACCTGGGGGCAGCCCCCTGCCATAGACAGAGAGCTGGCTCCAGCCTCATGCCAGGAAAGGGAGCGAAGGGGGTAGGGCTGGGAGCCAGCATCCTCCCCCGCATGCACTGCTTCCAGCCCCACATGCGGCTGCGAACTTGCAGCCTATGGGGGCTAGAAGCTGGCAGCCCAGTGTGAGGTCTGGAGCAGTTCTCGTCCGTCCGTGGTGTGCAGGCCATTCCAGCCCAACAGGCTGGAACAATTCCCCTGTTTAATCAGTTGACTAGTTAAACTTAATGTTTAACCAGTGAACTAAATAAACAGGATTTTATATTCCTAATGAATACTAACACATATGCACCTACATTTAAAGACTTACACATTTTAGGATTGCTTGGTGCCCAAGGAGAGCAATGTGGCTTCTAAGAAGGCCTGATGGTTGTTCTGACTTAAGATCGATTCCTGTGGCCAGAGTTGGGAATCAGTCAGGTAATAGAAGCATCCTAATCATAGAGTCTAATCTTCAGCCAGGAGCAGAGTGGTGAAGAAACTTAAATGCCTGTCCGAGGTTACTAGAAGATTTCCCCCTATGCAGAGAATGTCTGCTCTGATCCACTGAGTTTCTGCTAGGTCACTGTAACAAAGAGTTTAAAAAGTGGACACAATCTGGCTAGGAATCTGGTTCCTTTGTGTTATGATATGATTCCCTGCAGTTCATGGCAATTCATCCTGTCAACAATGCTGATGGGTCCCCTCTATACAATGAGTGTCTTTCTCTTTCCATCCCCTGACAACAATGTTTGGTGGCAGCTGCCAATGGGAAGCCCATGTGAAAAGCCTCTGCAGATATTTCTAGAGATGTAGAGAGGGTTAAACTCCCTGCTTTCTCTCCTGTGGGAAGTATAATCTTTCTCCCACCATGTGGAATAATGATCAGGAGAGTCCAGATTGTAGGGTTTATAGTCTCTAATAAGGGTTTTTCACGTTTAGTGGATGATTTATTCCTATCATACAAAGAAGGTATGGGGAAGATAGTTATAAGAGATTAGCTGCTTTTTATTAAGTGTGCTTACTTGTTCCATGTGTTTCCTTTTCCTCAGATCTGAGTACTGAAGAGCAGTTAAGACGTTTGCAGGAGGAGAAACTTTGTAAAATCTGTATGGATAAAGATATCTCAATAGTTTTTATTCCCTGTGGCCATCTGGTTGCTTGTAAAGAATGTGCTGAAGCACTTAATAAATGCCCTTTGTGTTGCATGATTATTACAAAAAGACAGAAAATTTTTATGTATTAGTCATATGTACTGCGTGGTTGCTGCATGTGTGCTGTAAAATTGTTTAAAATCACTGTAACGCGATAACAAACAGTTGGGATGTTCAACCCTGTAGCACACAAATATTTTTATGGAGAATCTAAAATTTTGGGATTAAAAAACCAAAGCTTCAGTCAGGGACCTAAAGTCTCAGTAAGAAGTTGCTAAACCTGTGCTTTGAGCTCTCACATTTAACACTCACATGCAGCCTCTTCATTCCTCTCCACTTTGTCCTTTCACTTGATTTGAATTGACAGACTAGGAATTCTTCATTACCATGTGCTCGTTTACATATGTCTGTGTGTGCACATATTTCTAATTTGTAAAAGTATAAATGAACTATATTATTCACTTGTATACAGTGGCATGAGCAAACTGAGAGATCTAATTGACTACAAGCTGTGCTGCTAATAACAATGTGGGTTGGAATTTGTCATCTGATCTCACTCTTTACCTGTATCTCTGCCAAGTTTTCAGAAAGTTTATTTCCCACATTCTGTAGCCTGTGAAGTGGAAATGACAAAAAAAATCCAGCCATTGTTTTGTTGAATATTAATTTTTCTAACATTTATATTTTTCAAAACTAGAATAGTTAGGGTAATACTAATTGCTTCGGTTGAAGGGAGATGTTTGTGCATTCAGGAATGGTGACATTTTAGTGAGAGAAATAAATAGCTAAAAGTTTATGTAGTTTTGTTCTTATGTTGGTTATTTTAGGGACTGTCTAATCTCTTAAATAGGGTTAATCCCCTTTTATACCCAATAAAACCTTAATGAGTAACACTAATTACTTTTCTTATAGAGAAAATGGCATCTTTTAAAATCTGCTGACCTTTTCTAAACCACAAAAATGTACACAATATTTTTAATTTATTCAAATGACAGAAAAATTACAAAAACATCATATGGTTTTTCTCTTTTGAACAGTTTCCTCTTCCAAGCATACATTAGCCTTCCCAAGTCCTGTACAGTATATTTTTTAAAAATTGACTGATTTCACTTCTACCTTTCATTTCAACTGATTTTATTTCTGTTATTTACATATTATAGTTACATTTCAGCAGCAATGTTTAAGTTGCACTAAGTCCATTTATTTCTCCAACTCTGAGAACCCTCAGGCTGACCTTTTCTAGCTCAATAATTAAAAGGATCCTTTAACTATCACACAATGACATTGTTTTCAAATTCCTAAAAAATCAAAACATTCATTTTCAAATCCATTTTTATCATCCCATTTGTACATATTCAAGACTTTATACATCCCTATGAAGAAAGAAGAGCCATCTGATTACAAACTCAAATATATTTTAATAATTCTTCTTTTAAAATATATTCTTCTAAGAATCCAATTTTTGTATATGAAATTATAAAAGAGGGCAAAATATATCATGTATAATTTAAGTCCATGGGCATGATGCTGCAAACCCTTTTTGCACATACAAAACTTTAATCATGTGAGAAGTTCCATTGACCTCACTGCTGAATCCTTCCCTTCCAAACCTTAGCTTTAGGGGACTCCTCATGTGAGTAGATTATGCACATGCAGAAAGTATTTGCAAGATTAGGCCCAATATAATGCTTGTACTGTATGTATTACCTTTAAATTTAGAAATTACTCTGTTTACTTGCACATATGTATAATTAATAAATATTCTGCTTTTGGTTTCACAAAGGCACTATGTATAATGGAAATGTTATAATGCCTTTATTTTTGTAGTTGAAGTTGTGAGTTGACATAATTCACATTTGACAAACATCTTAGTTTAACGAAATCAGTGTCTATGCTGGATGTTTCTGTTTTACCCTTTTCTCTTTGGCCATTTCTTTCGTTTTAATGTGGAAAATCTGTCAGATTGCATGTCCTGTATTTACTTAATGACTGTCAATATTAGGGTATTAGGGTATACTGGATTCCTTCTGTTTCTTTATTTAAATAGGTTAATCTTTTTACCATTCTTTTAAAAAATCACTGCATACAGATACAGACACTAATTGACTACATTTACTTTTTTGTTTTCAGAACGCTAAAGGTGTTGTCTCATCTTAAAAATTAAACTATATATTTTATTGTGGTAAGAGTTAAGATTTTATCATGGGCATAATGGGATAGCATCAGCATAAAATTATTTTTCTGTTAATATATTACAGATCCTTCAGTTTTCATAATTAAGAAGTCCAAACTTGCAAGTCTCTATGTATACAGATTTATTTTATGTATTTCAATTTGACAGTGAATCATTTTATAAAATTTCAGTTATGCTTTTAGTTTCTCATTCTGGCTCTCAAGATAGCTATTTGAGCTTGTAACATTTCTTTTGGAATTAAGACTTGTCCTCCAATTTTCTCATTTTATTTTTAAAATCTGAATTTTGAATGTAAGTAACACTTAGCTGATGATGCCTCTCTTCAACAGTGTCATCTCCAAATTTCTGAAAATTAATGTACTGTACTAGCACATGTTGATATATTTCAGAGTCTTCACTGAATGACTGAATTTGGTTTTTTAATTTTTAAATAGATTGAGTGAAATTAAATTGTTTGTATTAGTCTTGTGATTTTACATGCAAAGCGCACTCATAAGATGGCACTCTGTACTTTCTTGTCTTTGTACATGTAATATAGCAGGATATTACTAATGAATTTTAATAAACGTGGTAAATATAATTGACTACAAAGAATTTCTCTGAGAAAGAGCTCTTTGTAACTCAAAAGCTTGTCTCTTTCAGTAGAAGTTGGTCAAAAAAAAGGTACTGCCTCACCTACCTTATCTTTCTCCTATTCTGGCACTAGGTCACAATAAACCCAGTATTTATTGTCCATATATGGTGAAATCATGCTTACCTCAGTTGGAAATCCGAGTTTAGTTTAATCACGAAACTGCTTCTGGAAAACTCGATTTTAACTTTTTTCACAATCTATTTAGGTTTGAATTAATCGTTTTATTGCCTATTTTTGCAGAAAGTTTTAGTCACTTAAATGTTTATAGACAATTCTGTATCATAGGAAATGATTGGGCAGCTAAGTGCCCAGCTCCTGTTGAAAGTAATTGGGGGGTTAGCACAAAATTCCCATTTGTGCCTTTGAAAAAATCTTCCCAGTATGTTTGTTTCAAGGAAGAAAAATAAGTGCTTGCAAATAGTCTAGTAGCTTTGTTTGAAACATCGCCCAATCCAATCCAAGCAAATAAAAGGCATGATGCTGAAGCAGGTTGTTTGGCATAAGCCGGAAGGACTGCAGGAAAATTCCCTCTAAAAAGGGGTCAAACCCCTGAGTAGCACAGAAGGAAGAACCTTAAGACCAGCCACATCAGGGGAGATGGTTTGAGATGAATTTTGCTATCAGAACTGTTAATTTTTCTGTTAGTAAAATTCAAGTCCCAGCAAGGGAGTGTATTTGGATTGTACAGTATGTGAACTGGGTTTGAGAGCAAGTTGGGGATGATTAGCCGTGTTAGTCTGAATCTGCAAAAGCGGCAAGGAGTCCTGTGGCACCTTATAGACTAACTGAAGAGTAGGGGCATAAGCTTTCGTGGGCAAAGACCCACTTCGTCAGATGCATGTCCGGCATGCATCTGACGAAGTGGGTCTTTGCCCACGAAAGCTTATGCCCCTACTCTTCAGTTAGTCTATAAGGTGCCACAGGACTCCTTGCCGCTTTTGCAGATTCAGACTAACACGGCTACCCCTCTGATACTGGGGATGATTGTAACTTTTTGTTTTTTCCTTACAGTTTTTTAAAATCCTGAAATATAAATCAATTGAATTATTGAAATATTATTCAGATATATTTAATTCAGAAGAATCTTATTTTAAACTCATGCTGAGGCTAACTATTGAAAGGCACTGTAGGTCTCTAAACTATTTAACTTTTTTTTATTTTGAAGAATCACTAATTTTTCCAAGAGTCCGTGTTTCAAAATTGAATTTGTTGTCTGGGACAAGAAAGAGTTAAAAAACAAATTTGTTAGTAAGATTGTAAGAGAGCTGCTCTGTAGGTGCAATTTTAAAAGTTGTAATCAGTCCTGCATTTAGACTAAATGTGAGACTGTAATTAACAGCCATCAAACTGTGACTGATTGAATTAGAGAGATATTTTTTTAAATTACTGATTTTCAGTGTCTCATTTAAATATGCAGCAAAATGCCTTGGAGACCAGTGCTAAGCATTTAGGGAAATAACAGGAATGATGGATGCAAGTAACCATGAAAGAGCACAGATATATGGGGAAGGCATGGCTGAGAGGATCATAGATACTTTTTGGCCCCCAGCTGCCAATAAGTTAATTCATACTGTTTAAAATTAACAGCTTTTTTGAACTTTTTAATATTTGAAATCTGGTGTGGTCTCCATCAGGGTGGATTACTTTAAATTGAGGTGATTTAAATAATTTAAATCACCCCAAAAAACCCCTAAACATTGATTTAAACAAAAAATGTGAAGACTGTGCTTAGAGTGCACTTAATTATGGAGTATATCGCATTGAACTCACTGGCACTTCTGATGATGGTTTTCTCAACAACAACAAAAAAGTATAGAATGGGAAAAGCTGAGTTATGTTGAAGTAAAATAGGGGATAAATTTATGGAATCACTATTATGATCTCTGGCCATGGTGTTCTAAAATAAGGGGCATATATGATGTAACGTAAAATAAGAAAATGACAGCAACTGGCAACTCCAGATTTTTCTTACTGCAGCTTTCTGTATTGTTATATTTGAGTGATACAGCTTGAGAACTTATTTGTCACATCACACCTACAAAAAAAAAAGGCATAGAGAGAGTCTTAAAAATTATGCATTGTCAAATGAATTATTTAAGTTATTCACCGATTGATCCACTTAGCAGTATCCACATCTTGAGCCACATCCTTTTCTCCCAATAAACATTTTTCCTTATGATGATTCATTCTTGCAACTGGCAAGGAGTTCCACAGGTTGACTGTGTGCTAAATGAAGAAAAACTTCCATTTGTTTGTTTTAAACCTGCTGCCTATTTAATTTGGTGACCCCTAGTTCTTTTATTATGGGAATAAGTAAATAACTTTTCCGTATTCCACTCTTCAGGCTTCAGTGGATGCTACTATCACAACTTCAGGGTAGTTACAGTAGTTGTCTTGAGGCATGAATCTTGTCTTCACTTGTTGGGGTTCCCCAATGAGGTTAAAATATCATTGAGGACCTACCTTTGGCAAGGTTAACATGTCAGTTCCTTCATTCAGTCAGAGTATGTCGACACTTGCACTCTCTTTCGAGAGAGGGATGCAAATGAAGACATTAGAAATTGCAAATGAAGCTGGGATTTAAATATCCCGTGCTTCATTTGCATAATTGCATTATGGCACTATTTCGAAATAGCACTATTATGAAAATAAGACGCTGTTATTTTGAGAGAAAACCCTTCTCTCGAAATAACCCTTATACAATGAGGTTTACTGGTTATTTTGAGAGAAGGGTTTTCTCTCAAAATAACAGCGTCTTATTTTCATAATAGTGCTATTTCGAAATAGTGCCATAATGCAATTATGCAAATGAAGCACGGGATATTTAAATCCCAGCTTCATTTGCAATTTCTAATGTCTTCATTTGCATCCCTCTCTCGAAAGAGGGTACAAGTGTAGACAAACCTTCAGATTCCAAAACAGCTCTCTCTTTTTTAGATATTTATATTCCAGCTCTAAACAGGAAACACATAACAAATAAGACCAAGACCTTGCCCTCAACTGTTCTATCACTGCCCTTACACCAGAGGGGTCAGAGACCCACTATTACACCGCAGGTTCCCCCTCAGGCTCACAGCTCTATCATCATCGGGGTTACCCGCCAATGTGTGCTCGCTCTTTCCTCGAAACTCGGTGCTCCCCCCTTCCCAGATCCCTTCGTCTCAGTTTACCAATGCTCCCTGTGAGTCTGCCCCAGTTCAGTGGGACTCGCTTGGCCCAGTGTTCAGCGGAGAAGGAGAGGGCCTTGGGCCCGCTCCGGATCCTGGCCCAGGACCCTAAAGGCAGTGAAGTGGATTTGCTGTCTGGTTGGTGGGGAGTTTCCCTGTAACTCACCAACCCTTGGGGAGAGAGAGGGAGGGGTTGCTCCTTTTCCCGTCCCCGTCCACTTCCTCCTTTCCTCTGCAGTTGTCGGTTTGGTGTAGATCCGCGTGGGGTCCTCGGTGGTTCCCTCACCGGGAGTCCTCCCAAGCCTCCTTTCTCTATGCCACTGGCCAGCCTCTTACTCAGCTGCCTCCCTCTCAGTGGGGCTGGGGCACCATTTAAACTGCGGCCAAATGCGGCCACTCTCGGCCCCGTCTCCCGCCCCTGGCGCTCACCAATGACGTCAGCTGACGTCTTCTTGACGGTTTCCGCCCGGTCCGTGACGGCCCTGGAGCAGGCAGGACAAGACCGCCGGTGGGTGACACAGGGATCCAGGCGCTCCGCCATCTTCGGGCTCAGCACCTCCCCCTCCAGGCTCCTCGTGGCATGCTTGCCGCTGAGCGCTTCCCCCAGCGGCTGCGAAGTGTGGGGCGCCGGGAGCTCCGCCTGATCGGAGCCCGGTGCCCCATCACACACTCTTCCCTTTTAAGTCACTCACAGGTTTGTCAAAGGGGTCTCCTTCCTCTTCCATTGCCTTTGAAAAGAAGTTGGCATCTTTAGGTTTCGTCCCGGGGCGGTGTTGCACCTTGAACTTGTACGGCTGCAAAGCCAGGTACCACCTCATCACCTGAGGATTTGAATCTTTCATTGCTTGGATCCAGCGCAGCGACGCCTGATCAGTCACTAATTTGAAAGGGTGTCCGAGTAAATAATATCTCAAGGTCTCGATCGTCCTCTTCACCACCAAAGCTTATTTCTTGATGGTGGCATACCGTTGTTCGCGGGGGAATAGTTTACGGCTTAGATAGGCTATGGGATGGTCCTGTTCATCTATGTTTTGCGCTAACACCGCTCCCAGCCCGACTGCCGAAGCGTCTGTCTGTGAGATAAATTCCTTTGAAAAGTCTGGTTGCAATAATACTGAGGCCTGCATTAAAATTGTCTTTAATTGCCGGAAAGCATGCGCACATTGTTCAGTCCATACCACCTGCTTGGGGTAGTTGTTTTTGGTTAGGTCAGTCAAGGGCACGGCCACCAAAGCGAAGTTAGGAATGAATTGTCTATAATATCCAGCCAGACCCAAGAACTGCCGGACCTGCTTTTTTGTTTTTGGGGGGCAGTACTCCACCAGGGCCTGTACTTTGGTCGCCAGGCGTTTCAGCTGGCCCCTTCCTACAGTGAACCCCAGATAGCACTTTTTGGGGTTCACTGTTAACTCTGCCTCCCTCAAACCTTCCAAAATTGTACGTAAATGTAGGAGGTGGTCGGCCCAGGTCTTACTATACATGACTATGTCGTCAATATATGCTGCAGCATATCGTTGGTGCCCCCGCAAAACCCGGTCCATTAGTCTCTGAAATATTGCCGCAGCCCCATGGAGTCTAAACGGCATAGTTTTAAACTGAAAGAGCCCGAAGGGGGTAGAGAACGCAGTTTTCTCCGTAGAGGTGGATGTTAGAGGGATTTGCC